TCTCTCGTTTTTTTTGGGTCAAGTCGGTCCCTTCCCTTACCAGTATTGATTTAATCTCTTCACATATAAAAACACAAATCGCCAAGTGTGTATGAAAGAACTACTTATACTAGTTAGTTTGCCTTCGAACGACGTAAGCTTTTTAACATCTACTTCTGAGGTTGAAATTCTTTTCTGGTACTTTCATGTGCGGATAACCATAATGGAGAGGCTGATTTTATGCTGTTTGTCTCATAATTCATACAGGTTGTTGGAATGGAAGGCTTTTTTGGATTCACAGTCATGGCTGCTGTAAGTGCCGTATGCAGCTCAGTTAGGAAGGCTATTGAAAAAATGTTTAGCAACAACCTAAAACAAGAAAAAAGTTGCAAATCAAGGCATTTTTTCATTTAGTGGGTTGGCTTTTTTCACGGAGTGGCGCTGCAGTTATTTCACTTGATGGTCCTTTAGTGGAACAATCGTCATGCAAATTGTTGGTTAATTGCAATATGGCATTATCAATTATTTTAATTTACATGCACGTATGACACGGTGACTTTATTGCTTAGAGTTAACTTAAAATGTGAAGTTGCTGTTGTTGTTATGGTTTTTTTTTTTCATGGTATATTGTGTGTGATAAAAGGGATAAAAAAAGCACCAAGTGTGAATCGAGGAATATCTGATGAATGTAACCCCAGACCAAAGAGAGTTTCGGAGTTGTGCTCCGCTTTGGAGGAGAGCCTGGGTATCTTTCTAGTTGTTCCAAGAAAAACGTGGAAAAAAAAACTTTCTAACTGATTAAATTAATAAAGGTATAAAAAATAAGCGATAAACATTCTCGCCCTGGAGTCATTTCAATCAAATTGTTTTATTTTAAAAGATATCAAAGGGGCTAATGCTTTTAATGCCAAATCTCTTAAAGGTTCTTTCCTGATGTCTCGACTGAAATCAATTTAGTTGTTTAAAAATTTTTGTTTATTAATTTAACAGGTGGTCCTTCCTGTGCTGTACTTTATTCCAGGAAGCCAACCTCACCACAGCTACGAAAACAGCCTTGATGCTCTGCTGATGATAAAAAATGATACGACTCTTGCGACACTTATAGGTCAGAAAAATTTCATATGTCCTTTGGCCTCGTCAGCTTTATTAAAGTAATTTTCAATGAAATGTCAAAATTAGAGCAGGCTTTCCTTTATAACGGGCTGTGATTTTCAGGGTACAGAAAAAAATTTGCTACCCATTGAACGAGGAAAAAAATTGAAAACAGTCATTATTTGGTCACTTGTGCTTTCCGCGTTCAGATGGTTAACCTACTTTCGCTTTGCTTTCGCATAGTTGAAACATTTTGTTTATATTTTGTTTATATTTCTTGGTTGATTTGATTAGATATTTATCTACTGACTTATTTCGTTGCTTGTTTCTAGTGTTTTATACTCTTTCTATCGCATTTTACAATTTCTTTGGATTGACCCTTACGAAGTCTCTAACAGGTAAGACTGGTGTTTCATGAAACCAACTTCAATCATAGAGCATCTCCGGCTAACGTTGCTTTGGACATAAATGGATTTATGTACTTAATTTAGTTTTACAAAGAGTCTAAGACAGTTTTTACAAATCCCTTTGGATTGACCCTTACGAAGTCTCTAACAGGTAAGACTGGTGTTTCATGAAACCAACTTCAATCATAGAGCATCTTCGGCTAACGTTGCTGGATATAAATGGATTTTGTTCTTAATTTAGTTCTAAAAAGAATCTAAGACAATTTTTAAAAATCCCTTTTGTTAAATTTACAAGACTACAATAAACAAATGGACCCGAATTCCCATTTTATCATTTCCACGCCAATTTCATTCATGTGCTTCACTACCCTAGTTAGCTCAAGTAAATGCCCGTTCGTTTCGTTTTTATGTCGTATTGCAAATGCACACAGAACATTCCACCTCATAGTGTTCATGTGACTTAAAGGTCTGGAAACTACACCAACTGTATTTCCTTTTCAGCGGTCCACAGAACATTGATAGACGCCTGCAGAACAATTGTGGTGTGGGCTGTAGAACTGTTCATACACTATGCCCTTCATGAGGTATTGCTTCATCGTGATTCCATTAAGTGTCATGACCTAGTTTCAATGATGGTAGTTTTTGCATGGAGACAGATTTCATCTCTTGAACAAAAGCGTCACTTGCTGCTTCATGACACCCCTTCCTTCATGACACACCCAATGGATATCACATGATTTCATTCGTTAAAAGTGAGAGTTAGAGCAAGATAGCAGAGCCAAATAAACGTTTGCGCATAGCGGGAGCTTCACAGGTTCCATAGCAACGTTATATGAAAATGGCGGACTCTGGAATCATCGTTTTCATTGGATTACTCATTCAAACAACGTCTTTGATTTACGCTTGCTCGAATGCAGTTTGTTGTTGGAGGTTTCTTGAAAATTTTCCTCGCCGCATGTCCCCGTTTTTCCGAGTTTATCTCAGAACTTATTGTGTTGGTTTAATTCTTTATATGCCATTTGTTCAATGTTGGACAGTCGTAAAATCAAGTCAACCTCACCTAAACTGCTGTAGCTCCTACTTGAATCGGTTGTCGGTTGTCACTTCTCCTGAACGGTCAAGGGGTAGATAATTTCTTTTTCTTCTGTAGCTCGCTCTGTATATTATCTTGGTGTCTTCATCGTTCTTTGTGGTGGTGCGGTGGCCTCATGGTTAGTGCGCTCAACTCCGGATTCCGAGTGATCCGGGCTCGAGCTCTGGCCGGGGTCATTGTGTACAAATGGGTACCAGCAAATATGCTGGGGGTAACCCTGTGATGGACTAGCATCCCATCCAGGGGGGAGTAGCAATACTCCTAGCCGCTTCATGCTAAGGAAACCAGAGCTAAGCGCCGGCCCCATAGGCCACCTGGGCCTGTATAAAGGCTTTTTTACTTACTTCATCGTTCTTATGTACTCAATTAACTTCATCCTATTATTATATTATCTCCCCAGGATTTTGGTGAAACGTGGGATAGAAAGTACAGCATATTTCAAGGTAAAACTTGTTGTCTTAAAAGCTAACCCAAGGCAAAATTGCTGACACTTCACAGTTTCCTCGTGTGGTGCAGTCTGCATTATACCCTTGATTCAAAAAACCACCTTTACCACAAGCTCTTATATACACGAAAAAAGTCCGAATAATAAGGTGGATTTCACGAACCGTAGAAAGCTCGGTACCATCTATTGAGAGAATTGTGGTCCGTGCGACCAGCTCATTCTGCACTGGTAGACAAATCTTTTTAGTCCAAACCGATCGCTACTAAATTTCCCACAAATCTTATTTCACCCACAAACCGTTTCAGTCTATCCTTTAGGGAACAACTGCCAAGTTTACAGTCTGCAATAACTGCAGCAACCAAACCTTAAATTTTATAAACCATTTAAGAGCGGGTATATAGGAAACCTCCATCATATAAATTAGTTTTAAAACTGCTCAATTTGTTTTTTAGGACACTCCTTTCTGGTGGAATTAATATGACCAATTTGGTTTAATTTGGAAATCTTTTATTTTTTGCAGTTGATGGATTTCTTTTCCTGATGCTTGGCACAGCATTGTATAACGAGCTATTAATTATTCCTCCATTGATGCCCAAGCCTGATGCATCTCAACAGGCAAGATAATCACACAGTATATATCATTCCAAACTCTAATTCTGATTCTTCCGTCAGTTTTTGCACGTTTGCTTTTGTCCTAGATTATCGAAGTGCTCCCCAATTTCAAATGGTTGCGATATTTAGCTTTGAAATCGCTTTTTATCAAGCGCTCCTGATCATACCCACGATTGACAATGACCCAGAAAATAGAAGTATATGGTTTTTAGAACCAGTGACCAGACTATGAGAATCTTTCTATTTTATAGCAACTTGTTGTAGCTTTAAGTATCTTGTATGACCACTGTCAATACATAAAACCAACTCCTATCTACACAGGATCAAGCTTCAAATGAGATAGAAAATGGCGATGTAGACTTACCGGAGAATGAGCCATTTCTGAGAGGAATTGACAAAGCAGGACCTTACACTGGTGTTATGTGAACTGAGACCGATTCTATCCACATAATTACCCTTTGTTTCATAAACACGTGGTTCCAATTGGAATGTTTTGTTTCCCTCATTCAGAAATACGAATTTTGTGCAAGCCTGGCATTGTTAGTTGAAAAGAGTATTGCCTTGAATTATCTACAACAAAGTCTCATGCATGCTGGGGCCGAAGATGCACCTGCCCTTAATGAAGATTCAACGTACGCGCTATTTTGCAAGGCTATTTTGTTCACGTCTCTACCAGAGCCGAGCATAGCATTTCATTGTGGATGAAAACTAAGGTTAATCGCTCATCTTATCTTTTATAATAGAATTGTTAGATGTCCGGCGTGTCTTTTAGAATGCCAGTCAACTTGATCGTAATCAGCAGTAAATTATAAAATAAAGTCGCTAAAGAAAGTGGGAATGAATACACCCAAAAGTGTTGTATATGATGTTGCCTTGAGTTTAAATGAAAAGCTATTTTTTAAACTGTCGCAGATTATGTTTTTAATAAAAGATTTATTTTTCGACAAGTAAATTATGTAGTGTATGTACAGATCGCAACTCTCATATGTTCTCTCAGTTCAACGTAAACACGCTTCCAACAATAAGTCTTCATATCAGTTTGACTGTCCATTGAAAGGGACAGTTAGTCCAAAGGACAGTTAACAAAATCATCTCACCATCTACAACAAGATGATAAAAGTTATGATAAAAGTAATGACTTTGTATCATTTACTACAACGCCAAAAGGCTCATGCGGAATGAAGTTTAAGATAACTATATGTACAAAATACTTGTTGATATATCACAGCTGTGCATTTACCAGGGTGAAATGTCTAAAGAAATTTTGCCGTATAAAAGAAAGCGCTGCATTTTATGTTTACCTTTATGATCGAATTGATTATCTGTGGAAGTTCGGATGGGTATCAGTTCATATTTCAGTGGATATGATTTGATATTTGCGTCGGTTTTTCTTGATAAGTCATCATGAGGTAAAATGAAATTTTTTTCTGTACAAGTGCTTGCATTAAGAAGACTTTGTGACTTGTTTTTCTGTCTCTTGGAATTCAAACTCAACGTTGGCAGCTAGGATATTTCTCTTTCGAGCACCGCTTTGCGGAGCTTTCAATTCATCGATCTTTGACATTTGCTTTGTTTTGGGGGCATCGTAAGATACTGTATCTCCAACAGAGTTAAAATTCATTGCTGGAGTCAGAGATGGAAAAACCTTGCGGGACAAACGATGGAGTCTACGCCTTACTTCCCGCTTAAAATGCGCATGTCGAAATGCGTAGAGAAATGGATCTAACAGGGAATTAATGTTTAGACAAGTAACTGGAAGCCATTGACCGATGGAAATTTTAAAAATGGTGCTTTTAAAAGAGTCGCCATTGAATTCAAAAGGGTTGCTCTCCAGCTTGGCAAAGATTGAGAACACAAGGATGAGAATAATAGGGATAGCAAAGAATATAAAGTTTGTGAAAACCAACAAAGCGATTTTTCTTGCAAGAGATATCTCTCGCTTCACCCCAACCTGATTGCTACTCCTTTTCACAAACCTGAAAACCTTGAAATATAAGGGAAGGTTCGCCAAGTAAAGCAAAACAATGCATGCTAGAGAAGAAAGAAGAATCAGTGATGATCCTGACTGGAATTGTTTATCATAACTCAAAGGAGTGCAGGCTCGCTTTATGTTGTAATGAAGACCCCCAACACCAAATATGGGCAAGACAGCGAAAGTGATGGCAGTAACCCAAGCAAATAGCAATGAGATGTGCGCACCTTTCGCTGTCATGCGCTTGGAAGGGTTGACACAGTACACGACAGCAAGATACCTCTCGAGTGTGAGAAGCAGTGAGATGGACACAGAAATCAGCTGTCCCGAGATAAAGATGGGACCAGTGGAGGGCTGCAGCTCTTTTCCTGCCCACATAACCTCTTCTAGAATACTGTCGATGTTCGAGATGTTTACATGGGCCACCCATATTGCGTATATCCCAATAAGCAGGTCGATAATTCCTGTATGGCTTATGAGAATAAAGGACGCTGTCTTTCGTAAGTTGCGGGACGAGAGAATAACAAAGATGACAACACAATTGAAAAGGATTGTAAAGGGGCTAAAAATGTACTCCAAATAAAACAAGTGCTGAGGAAGGGATGTCCGTTTTTTCAAGTATGGCATAACAACGTGACGGAATTCGCATTCCGACTGCTTCACGCACATGCACTCGGGCGAAAATCGGTGTCTTACAAATCTCGTAGGATCCTTCTTCCCAAATTCAAGAAACTCCATTTCATCAAACTCTCGAAGGCATTCCTCAGCCTTCTGCTTTCGTTGCGCCTCGTTGACGAGATTTCTTGGGTTAACGACAGTGCAGTTTGGGCAGAATTTACACCAAGTTACCCCCCTGAGTTCTTTGAGTTTAGGAAGAGCCAGAATATTTTCATCTGGGACCCAGTCGATTGTTCCAGTGATATCCAGGTATTCAAGATCGCGGGTACTATTTGACTGGTTACCAGACCAACTCCTTATATTATTCAGACTGAGATTTCTGGGGAAGAAAATTATGGGAAAAATAAACTTTTTTTCCTCACTGAAAAACCTATGTATTTAATTCGATTAGCAAGCACTGTTTGATAAAGGAGCCTTCGCTCCAATCCTGAAGAAAAATCGTCCCCTCTCGGGAGGTACGGAGTTTGAACTCGGGAACACGACTGAAATCGAGTCTACTACGATATTTTTCCCACCGATATTTTCAGTATTTCTGCATCACAGGCAGCCGTTCTATATCAAGGTTTCGCGTCAACCTGTGTTTTTTTCTCGATGCCTCTATTATATCATTTGGCGATCTGTACCCATTCGCTCTGACAAAGGGCTAACGCTTAAAACGTCAGCTTTGAAACTCTTTACGGTGACCAATTTTCATTATCAACTCAGTTGAAAAAGCCAGTTTATTTGGTTATACTCCCCCTATCGACACAGCACCACAGGTTCTTAAGAAACTTGCCCCTCCATTCTTTTGTACCTAAGTAAGTTCCAATTATAATAAATAGTTTGAAGTGGTTAATTCCTGTTCACACCCAGACATGCCAGTTTATGAAAAGGCTAGATATATTTAGGAAACAAGTGCGTGCGCAAAATTTTATGGCTTAAGAACTATCGATTTTTCTCTGACGTTCACGTTTTAGAAGCGTCTCAGCACAGGCAAAGCAGTGACATTTAAACACCTTTTATACTTACAAATATTTCAGGCGGTTGAGGCCGGCAAAGAATTTGCTGTCAACCTCCCCAATGAAGTTTCGTTGAATCGAGCTGAAAAACGAGTAGGAATCGAGAGCTTGAAGCACAAGTAATGGTGAGAATTTTTTTTTCCAAAAGGATCTCTTTATGATCACTTTGGTAGCCAACTAACACCCATTGCACAACAGACCCATGATAATGGGACACAAACACTTACAGAAACTCCAGGAAGAGGAAATCAGCCAACAGACCTTCTTGAGTCAGATTATGTATCTTGTTTCCGTCTAAGACCCTGGTGAAGAACACAACGATAAGGTTAACCCGCGCCTTACGCGCCTCTTTTTTTCAACTTACTCACTGGAACAAAGTACAATTAATTCCCATGGACCAAAACCTATGACAGCCGGGACTAAACTCGAGTTCCACTTTGCTTCACATTGATTCACTATATTTGTACCCTCTATGAGAATAAAATTCAGTTAATCTGAAGTTTACATTTCCTCCGCGCGGTCATTTCCATAGATTTATGATTACCTTGTGTTGCTTTGTTGGTAGTGTTGCTGTTTACCGAAAGATGAATTGTATTGTTCCTTTTGATAAACTTTAAACTTTTTTGTTCGTAATGAACGTCCACATACATTACAGAGTAAAAAACACATGTTGGTAAAAGTTTCAATACGAAATTTTAGGACTATAACGTTTCTTGTTATCAGACTTAATTTTCTTTTAAATTATTTTCATTTTCAGTTGGTTTTTTTTTTTTTTTTTTTAATTTCAACGCTGTTCATCACCCTTTCCCTGGCTATCTTCCAGTATTGACGCTGAAGTCCTTGGTATGACATTTAATCTAGGTCTTTTAAAAGTACACAACTCTGGGAGAGTGGTTTGGAGTGGCAGCCAAATTAAATATGGTGTGTGGTTAATTTTTCAATATTGCTTTTTATTGAACTAGTTCTTTATGATGCATTTTTGCCTTTTTTTTAATTTAATTTTGAATAACAAAATTTACATTACATTTGATTAGTACTTACAAGTTTGTGATATTGCGATATTTACGGATGACGAAAACTGGCACTTGAGACAAACCGTTGTCGGACAAGTCTCTGCAAATGTAAAAGACAAAAGACGAAGTGTAGTTATCCGTCTAAAACAAAAGGAGTGAGTGAATATTATCCCAGAACCTATATGGTACAAGACGTAAATTTTGAGGGGAATTTTGAACGCTTTTGCAAACGGTTCACTGTTTATGAGTTTGGGACTTTACAATGTTCCCCTAGACAATCCATTGCTAGTTTTCCTCTTTAATTGGTCGTAATTTCTCTGGATGAAAAAGCACTTTCGTTGGGATAAACTTGTTTTCACTACAGGGAACTCAACTTGCCTGCGTTCATTTTCATTTCATGATTCAATTTTTTATCGATCAACAGGAATGTATTGAAAAAATTTAAACGTTATAATGCAGCTACCGAAAAAAAAAAAGACACAAATTGTTTGTCAGAGAAAAAATTAATTCAAAGTAGGAACAGGTAATTTTTTTGAGATATAATAATACAAGGGAATAGCTGATTTGAAATCTGGCTCTATTTTTCGTCACTTGAAACTAACAGTCTAAAAAAAGAAACGTTTAGATTGAATCTTTCCTGTTTTGCACCCAGATTATAACCTATCGATAAATATCTTTAGATAACTCTTCCTGTCCACCTTCCGCAAATAAAGACGCATTTTTTATCCTCCTATTCTCTTTTTGTTTCCTTCACATAATACCAGTGACGGTAAAAAAGCAAACAAAACATTAAAATGGTAGAAAACGCTTTGAGATTTCCTCTCTTGTGAGGTCTACTATTTTATGTCACTGTCGCTCTGACATAACTTGGGTGAATAGCATTGATAAATACTTCCTTCCGTCTTCCGCTGATAAATAATAACTTTTCTGGCTTTTCTTTGAATTATATTTTATTACTATTTCCTTGAGATATCCGCAATAACAATGGTTGCTTTGCATTCAGGGAGAGTTATTGAAAATCAGCAGGACTGTTTTCGCCACAGAAAAACAAAAAAGACATTTTCTGATGCCCTCACTTCTCCATCTCTATCGTGCAAAACTAAGAAAAACAAACGAATTTCGATAAAATTGTGCACTTTGCAGTGAATTCTAAATCCCGCTATTGCCTCCAAATAATCACCTTCAAACGTCAAGACAGCGTCATCGCACAATTCTTTATTGAGATTATAATTTTTTCCCCAAAGAGCACCTGTAGTTCAGTGGATATGCGACTGACTTTGCAGAAAATTCTCGATAAGGCTGTTAACTAATTGCAAGAGCCTTCTTCTTTACACAATGCCTCCGGTTAGTACTTCAATGCATGTGCTAATGAATAGATATATTTGATCTTTTAAAATTTCAGGCAAAGCTAAAAAAAAATATTTTCTTGGTAATGGCAATAAAGATGAACCTCAATACGAGTGGAAAGTACAACAGCTCAGTACAAAATAACTTTAAAAGAAACCTTTTGCTATAATACAGTTGAGATCTACTCACAAAGAATCCACATCTGGTGGTAGAAGAAGACTATTCTCACTTAGATTTTTTCCGGCGAAGTTGCATTTGGCCAAAACCTTTCCGGACACTTTTTCTCGCGAACAGCGACAGTCGTTTGCACATGACAGGTAGCTGTAAAAGGTATCGTCGTCAGTGGTGTCCAAACGTGTGGGGAACAGCGATACCAAAAGAGCACACGACAGAAATCGCACGGCCATGACGAAAATCCGTTTGAGTGTCTGTTCACTTAAAGAGATAGATGTCCTCTGCAATTACACCAATGTTATTTGAAAAACTTTGAATTTGCATTTAGTTTATAAACATGTGTTTGCGAAATTAATTGTCACCCTTGTAATTAAAAGTCAAACAAACGAAAGACAGTGTTGGCCGATAAAATTTTAGCTAACGGAGGCTCAATTCGTTCTGAGTTTAGCCACTCAATTTCCCCTGACAGATCTTGACCCATTTGGTGAGCACTATTCGAGGCTATCAGAGTATTCTGTTTAAGGTCCGTAATTTATATAGACATACCTGAATCACTGATGAGGCCGAGAGCTTTTGATTTTTTGTAGTTTCCACAGACGTGGAAATAGGAATTGTCCTCTGTAAATGTCACTTCTTGACATGTAGTCCAAAATATACGTTCGACTGATGGTATACTGTGTTGCCGTTTGAGAATTGAGCGTGGGATTTAAGTGTTAATTACAAGCTATTCAAACAGCTTTGCACCTGCTAGCAGCTGCAGGAGAAAAAAACATATCCTCGCTCGTAAGCCATCATCTTTGCCATCGATTGGTTCAATAATATTAAGGAAGACTTTAGAATAAGAGTTGTAACCTGATCACAACATTGTTACATAGTGATATTAAGAGGTTACTGCATAGCTCATTTATTTGGATTTGTGATGTGCACCTCGCCATTAACAAGGATGACTTAGAGATTTTCTTTCAAAGTGTCACTAGTACGTTGATGACAAAATTGTCACCATAATGTTATTATTTAATATTACTGGGTGATCGTCGTAATTTTCTTAATCTGAGGTTGGGGAAGAATTTTTTGTTATCAGAATTGGTAGGAGTATTTTCAAAGTAATTTTTTTGTAATTTCTAAATCTATTCTATTCCCAACCCTTTTGTTACTATACGACACATCTTTATCATCTATTTATTCCCAGCAAAGCAGGTATGAAAATAAATAGTACCACAGGCTTATTTTCTTCCAACGAAACAGAGCATTGCTTCTCTTAAATCTCTGTGTCTAGAATGTTTCTTTCCTTTTCTGCGCTTGTTATTTTATTTGCTGCTTAGAGATTTGGTAGAGATATCAACTGGCACCTTCAGGATTTGCACCTATTCATTAAGAAAGAGCTCGTTCACATGAATAAGTAATTATTTGAAGCTTTGGAGACTATCTATTCAGCCCTTGAATTCGAGATGAAAAGAAACAATGTCCGTGACATGCATTTCAATAAGTAAAATTACAAAACTATCAGTGAAATAAAAAAAGTTCACATTCAGATTGCTATGAATTTGAGCAAATTTGTACAATTGATTTCATGTTTTTGACGTGGCTATCAACATCTCAACGTCATTTCAGTGGCCGGGTTTAAAACAATATTGCTACCCAAAAGATAACCGTGCTCATCTATTTTCGTTCCTATTTATTTTTTTTTTCTATTTCTTTTTTTTGCGCCTCGTATAAGTTTGAAGTAAAACCTATCACAGGCACGCTGCTTTTTCCTCTCCCTCCAACGTAATCTAAGTCAGCAGTTAGCTTAGTTCATTTGTAAAGATTATCCACTTTTTGCAATCTCTTTTCATTTATCACTATCTTTGTCTTTTTATGATGATCTAATTTTCATAGTAAGTGGCAAACGTTACTTGGGATATTCATCGAATGAATATTCCTTTAAAAAAGAGAAATTCTTTATCTGTTTTGTGACTTGCTCCTTTTGCTCCTTGGTCCACACCACTTTGTCTCTTGTAACAGAAGGAACCCCAAACAGAATACTACTACATTTTTCAAAGTAATCCTCAGAACAAGTAACTCCTAGATGATCGCATAATCTCTGCAACGTTTCTCTGGGTTTCAGCACTGTGTTGTGCCCTTGAATATCGATGACAGCATTCCCGTAACGTTCCCTAATGCGTTGGTTTGCAGCCGCCAAGCTGAAATATGACTTAATGGCTAAATCAAGTTCCTCTGTCATATTTACCTGGTATAAGAGACGGACGAAAAAGAAACAGTTATGTTTTCCTCATAACGGGAATAAAAAATAAAAGCATTTTTGCATTGATTCCTGACATTACAGCGTGCAGAAGAGTGTTCAACCCCGCCCCACCCTCCTCACTGTCCCATTCCAAACCATTTTCCTCGTCAGAAATGAAAATACCTTCGTAATCTAAGGGCAACTTCGCCAACGAAAAATGATTTCTTTTTGAGCTGAGATGATGCTACAACTTTTTGTCTTTCACTATCTGCGTCGATAAGTGCGCTAAGGATCATGTGGGAATCTTGTGTGTAGGAAGTATAACCTCTCATCATTTTCCTTTTGAAAATCATAATTCCTCTCGTTAGACTTCACCCAAACATTCCTTTCATTACAGCTGAAACATTTTCATGTTGATATTTAAGAAAATTAAATGCTTGAATCTTCGTGTCCTTCTAACCTACCGTTACTCCATCTTCTTTTACGACGTCACGTGACTCTGTAGCGCGGAGCATGATGGTTGCTATGTTGTCAAAGGGGTTTCTGATGACGTGAATGAATTTTATCGGTATCTGAAGAACTTCTTGAATTTCATAGAGGACACTCCAGTTATTTTTATTCCTCAAAGCATTTGCTGTGCCACCGCCCTTTTTGTCGCCAATTACCTATCCAATAGGATTAAAACAAATTATTATAAATAATAATTTGCATAAAAGCAAGTTTGTCGTTTCCTTTGGTGATACACACTGGAAGGCCATATTTCAGTTTTTGGGTTAGTGACCGCATTTTGATTTATGTGATCTATAAATGAAAAGATACACTTCAACTTGGAGTAAATTTATGAAAATAGATGGAACACCTTCCATGATGCACCAACCTTGATTCCTTTAAAATATCTTCCTTGCCATAAGCCGGGCACTTGGTAGCTATACCTGACGTTCAAAAGGGAGTTATTGGCACGACGGCCAAATGTAGCGTCTCTCACCGAAAGTTCATGAAGGTCATAAAAGAGTTGATATTTCTTAAAGCTTCTCTCAACCTCTTTTGAAGAGCGGAATTTTCCCTGCCAAGTTCGAAGCACGTGGTATTCATTCGCAATGATGATTTCTGGATGTGCATCTAAGATGGCAGCCACTAGGCTGTGGCTGCTGCGGGGGTATCCAATGAACATCACAAACGTCTCCACTCCATCGTACAGTTTGAAAAGATCTTCTGCTGAGGAACTGAGTGTGGTTGGCACTTCTGAAATCAAACCAGATTCATCATGCTATTCGATTGTTCATATAATCTTTTCTTAGTCTATATCGGACTCATGTCCATCGTTCTGACGAGGGAAGTAGAACGACTTGGCCTTATTCTTATACCCGTGAAGTTATAATCAAAGCCTTCTCAAAGACGTATTAACTTTAATTTAATTTTTATACAAATGATGACCTGAGTCATATTCGGGGTCCCTTGCATCTAAGAGGGAGAAAATCGAAGGGCAAAATTCGAACGTCTGATGTTCTTTTCTCCGTGAGGGACTCAAATTGTTCTCGTTATCCCGTGCTTGTGACAATTACAAATAATACCTCTCTTTATTAGACTACAGAACTCGAAATTCGCCATCTTTCCATAGAGAAGTAAGTATAGATAATGTGATTTTGAGATGGAGTGGGAGATCCAGTGGGGTCGAGTGGTCCGGGCTCAAAAACTGGCCGGGTCACTGTGTTGTGTTCTTGGACAAAACACTTTACTTTCACAGTGACTCTCTCCACCCAGGGGTACAGATGGGTATGGGCAGATTATCAGGGAAGCCTGATGAAATGTTGGGGGTAACCT